TTAGATCTGTGGTCTGTGTTACAATTCAACCATTTCTAGGGGCCCTGAATGTCTGGAGGGGCCCCTTAATGGCCCTACTGAGTTTTCTTTGCCTTGATATCCCAGTCTTACAATTCTAGATCTCAGAGGTGCCAACATCAAAAGATTATATAGAGTTAATCCCTTTGAGCTTCTTTGATCTATAAATCAGTCTGCAGCCAAGTTATTATAGAGGTTAAACAGTTAGATATTATTTGGGCTTAATTAATAAAATGGCAGCAAATTTGCCTATTTCATAACTTCATGACCAGCAACCTTATCTCCTCTGGTCTGTTTTAACAGCTTCAGTCTCAGATCAGCTCAGCCCTCCAGGACTGTCAGCAGCTGAAACAGAAACATTAAACTTGTTGGGGAAAATAGACTACATTTGCTTTGCATTGTCCCCGCATGATCACAATGATGTAGTAGGATCCAATTAAATTCTAGATTAATATGGGTTGTTGCTATGTTGTTGTATGGTGTTTTAAGATCTTGTTCAATGTGCCCTTTTTTAAATTTTGAGCCCCTGCCCCTCCAAAGGTCTCTGCACGGCCCTGACTAAATTGTATTTGTAAACAAACAGCTCAAACTCAAAGACTAAACTCACAGCATCAGATTGTAGCTAAGGTAACAAAACAATCTAACTATGAATATTGTTCTTTGAACTTTTACAAAGTAAACTTGTCAAGCTCCTTAAAATCTTACATTTAAATGTTAAACAATTTAAAATCTTTTAATTTATGTATGCTGAAATTGAATCAAATTTAGCAGCATTGGTCATTTCAATAAACAAGTGTTACTTTCATGTATCTGTGGTCTTTGTTAAAATATTAGCATTTATGAGGCCCCTGAAGTCCTGGGGGGCCTGATGGAGCTGCTGACTTAATTTGCATTCAACAGAAGTGCAAATAATTGATATTAATTTTAATTGTATATTTTGATTTGTTGTTTTAAAGACTTGTTGTGGGTTTAAGTAGTGTTTCACTGGTGATGTTTTCCCGTAATGTATAATTACCGAGTGATATTTTAAAATTTCCTGTCACCTTAGCATCTTTTAATACAAAAACACGGTGGACCGCCTCGGCACCCCGACCACCAGGCTTAACAAGTTTTCTGGAGGAAACCCTACTTTTGCTCAGCTTGTGTGTTAACTTTCAATCAGACCTTGCTGTTTAATAATGGTCATTATCATCTCTTAAACAGGGCAGTTTCTCTAAGAGATCTGGTTGGCAGGAAGTATCTTCATCTGAAAAACCATCCTTTACTCAGTGGAGATAGAGACCACGCTAAGGATGTGCTTTTCCTCTTTAATGGGATGGAAAAGATGCAACTTGACTTCCGAATCGGGTCCTCTGAGCTGTGCAGTGATCCCAATGAGCCTCTTCCACCAAGTGTACTCATTGTGAACCTGCTGAGGAAATATCTTCTTCCTGAGGTAAACCATTGCTCATGATTAATGTCTTCTAGCCTTTTGTTTCCAGTTTTCCTTCTTTCTGGTTTAGGTTTATGTGCAGAACTCGGCCATAAGTTGTCTTTTCTGGCCTCTTAAAGCAAAACAGTTAAAGACAAGCAGTACCACACAGAATTTGACTTGTGTGAAGTTTAAATGTACATTGAAACTAGATAGTATATACTGTTTTTATAAAAATTGTATCAATACCTAACTGTACTCTTATAGACTGTCAGAATCACCAAAACCATTTAATCAGAGTAGTGGGCTTTCTCTTCTTTTTTTTATGAAAAGAAAGCAGATTCCACAATATCCTGTCATTAAGGCATATGTCACAGTAAAGAAAAAAAAACTTCTAGTTGGAAGAAATATCAGATTCAATTGAACATTTCATAAAGTTGATACAATCCCACTATATGAAGCTCACAGACTCCACATACTATGAAATGTCCTCCAAAAGCATATCTGATCAGCATAGTACCTGTGTAACCATTTTATTTATGTAGTCAGCAATGTTATTTAATGTAAAACTTTGTTCTTCAGAGAAAAAGATATCGTGCCCAAACCAAAATTATAAATACAATAGGTTAAGGGTTAGCAGATATTGAGTTGTTAAAATATTCCTTGTCAACAGAACATCATTTGTGTGTAATTTTGAAATGTCCAGTTGTTTTCTTTTTTTGTTTTGTTAAACTTCTTTGCTCTGTCTCCTAGGCCAGTATCTTAATGGCCACCAGACTGTCTGCTGTGGAACGCATCCCTCAGAAGTATGTGAGTCGTTATGCACAGATTTGTGGTTTCAATGACCCGGATCGCCAGCGTGCGTACTTCACCAGCCGCCTGCTGCAGAGTGAAGAAGCAGCACAGAACAAGGAGGCCCAGACGCTGATAGAGCTCCTTTACCTCCACCTGCAGAGCGAAAGCCAGCTGGCTGCCGCTTGCTTTCTTCCCTCTTACTGCTGGCTCACGTGCGCTACCTTACACTTTCTTCATTTTACGACGACTCAGGCCCCCATCCGCACTCTGACTGGTATCTATACTAGCTTTTTTCGGCTTAACTTTGGGGGTGAGGTGCTTGGCACAAGAACTGGGACAAGTCCATCCTCTCAGGAGCATCAAAGTTCTTTAATGAGGTATGTTGTCCTTACAGTTGGAAAACTTGCGTTTGATGGTGTGATGAACAAGCGCACCTCTTTCTCAGACAAAGAACTGGAACAGTGGATTGGTGGAAAGACCAAGACGGACGAAGAGCTGCATCAACTGGCCGTGTTCCAGACTGATGTGCTAGACTTCTTCCTGGCTCCTTGTGTAAAGAGTGGAAACCACTCTTCAAAAGAACTCTGTGAAGACAACGAGAAGCTGTACGTGTTTGCTGTCCCAGCCTTGCAGGAGTACCTAGCAGCTCTCTATATAGTTTTAGGGGAAAACAAATCTGCTTTGCAGAAGCTAACCAGCCAGGTGTCTGTAGCCATTGGTCAGGCAAGTGAGGATGTCAGTGCCCTCGTGAACATCCTTTCCAAGTTTATTCCACTCAGGCTCTTTGCTATATTCAACCTGCTTAAGCTTTTTCCAAAGCTTTATGAGAAAATAAGCAGCTACAACAAAGGCAAAATTGCCAGAACTATGGCCGTTGAAATGTTCCGCACTGAAGACAGCCATAACGACGATGTTCTGGATCAAGTGGAGCAAAGCCTTTTGGGAGTCCATGGCCCACAACCACAGCAGTTTGATGACAGCAAATCTTTTGAGCTTTACCCCATCTTCATGGGAGGACTGTTACAATATAGTAATCGGGTACTTCTTCAGCAACTAGATTGCAATGTCCAAAGCACCACGGTTGTTCAGATAACACGTGCCCTCAGGAAGCACCTTGTAAGAGGTAAATACACACTCTGTCCAGTTTCTCATTGCGACATGTGAAGCCGATATTATCGTTCGATCTTACCAACCTCAGAAGAAGGGTAAAAATCAACCACTGTCCTCTTCTGGTGGGCCGGTCTGTCAGTCCGGCCCACCAGGTCATGTCTGCACGTTTTCAGTTAATAGTCATCCCACTGAGTGACGTTCTTGTTGTATTTAGCAAAATTTCAGACAAAAAAATTCAGACATTTGGGCCAAAGTCAGAATCGGTAGGTCAGGCTTTTTAAAGATCGGTGATCGGCCAGAAAACTACAATTGGTGCAGCCCTAATTTGAAACCTACTACAAATCCTTAACCATCCAAACAGACTGTTAATCCTATAGGCCAATAAGTGTTTTTGAATTTGGACTATAAATTACACACAACTATTTTAGCACAGAGTATGAATGATGTAATGCCCTTATTAATTGATGAAGACCGGAGTGACTTTTTGAAAAATAGACAAATGCACTATAATAGTAGGGGAGCCCTACATATCTTTATCTTTATCTGCAGATCATAACTTTTAATTTCCACCCAGAACAAATCTTAATATCCAAATACAAGTTTTATTGGAATTCATCGAATTTGTTGAAAAGGCCGTCACTCATTTTCTACACCTAGAATGGTAACCAAAGAGATGAAAGGATTTCTTAAACATGCATGAAAGAATAAAACAAACACTCCACATATGTTTTTGATGAGGGAATAACATTGTAGAATGATATATAGCTCCAAAAGGTGGATTTTACATAAGACTGTCCATTTAAGGTATTGGTAATATTAACACCTAAATACACTGCTCAAAAAAATAAAGAGAACACTCAAATAACACATCCTAGATCTGAATGAATGAAATATTCTCATTGAATAATTTGTTCCTTACAAAGTTGAATGTGCTGACAACAAAATCACACAAAAATCATCAATGGAAATCAAATTTATTAACCAATGGAGGCCTGGATTTGGAGCCACACACAAAATTAAAGTGAAATGTTCCCTTTATTTTTTGAGCAGTATATTTGATGATAGTTGTTTTCCTTTCAAATGTACATTTTTTCTTAGATTTTCCTGAGGTGAGTAATTGAAGTTTAATTTATATTGGAACTTGACGCCAAATCTGTGGAAGGAAGACATGAGGTTAGGCCGGCCATCAGGGTCAGACAAGGTCACCAGGACATTGTCTGTCATTCTCTTAAATTCACGCTTAATTTTTTAAACAAGTGGCTCTGTAGATGGTGCAAATAAGACCAGGCTTATTGGTCTTCTTTCCAAAGAGATTGTGTTTGAAAGTCTGCCATTTATTTTAATGTGGCTCATTGGCAAGTTGTATATGGACTTCTGACATTTTTGTGTCTGAAATTTGGTATTAAGGCCAAATGGATGTAAGACCAGGTACTGGTTATTCTTGGCCAGTCTTAGAAATGATCAAGCAGGACAAACGTAGATATGTGTTTTAATCGTGAGTGCCAGACTCATATTTCAATGCCCATCCTTTACATTTAAGGTAATAAGTTGGCCTACCATGAACTATCCCTGGAACTGGTACTTTCATATTTCTTTTCACTAGGAGCAACCACTCACTCTTACATTCCTTTAAGATTTCTACTTGAAATAAGTCATCATTTTTGAAAAAAATAATTACAGCTGCAAATAAGATATCCTACTGCCTTTACTAAATAATTTAGCAAACAGACTTCTTTCTTTATTCCAGAGCTAAGTAAGCCTCAGCCACCAGAGGAGCTGATGGATCTGCTAGTCCTTTTGTATGAGTTTCAGAATCCCAGACTGACTGTAGAGGTGCTGTCCTCAATCAAAAGCATTTGTCTAACCAACGTTCGGATGACTTCACTCAAATGCTTCATATTGAGCTCTGTCCTTTCATGCGCGTCTGCAAGGTAAAGTTCATTTTTCACCCATTTGAATAAATAAAATCTCCTTTTCCTCTCTAGAAAAACTGGTAAAAAAAAACAACTAAGATCTGAGTTCTATGTTACAAACACATATGAAGATATGTACATTGTTTGTGAAAACCTGTAACCTAAATTTGTAAAGAAATTTCAAAATGAGCTTTAGACTCTCTTTGTTTATTGTTGGTGGCTGTAAAATTGTGTTGATTTGAATGTTTTTTGTTTGTTTGTTTCTTTTCACAGTTATCACCTGAAGGAGCTGGACCTGTCCTCCTGCCTCCTGACTCATAACATGCTGCAGATGTTGGTGCCGGCTTTCAGGCATGCACACAGCCTCAAGTAAGACCAGATATCAACGGAGGTCTATCTTTGGCACAGTGCTTTAACAATATGTGTATTTTGGCATTTAAAAAAATAGAAACACTTAATTTATATTAGAATTGTATGTAAGTATAAATGGCCATCAGTAACAGAGCAAAGAGGTTTGCTGTTTTTTGTTTACTGAAATGGGTCAAAGTAAAGTTGTGGGTCCATCTTCATCTAGGAGTGAGAAAACCTCCTTAATATAACAATAAAAGCTTCTCTAATTCAAACTGGACCAGCAAATGAGTGTTTGAAAATCTGAATGTTCAATTTCTTGTCTAACAATCATTGACTGTAGCAGACCCATAATTGCAGTCGTTTTTGCCTTGTGTTAACAGCTATTAGCTGTTTATGTTGTGTTGTTGATTTCAGTCTGCAGTTCAACAACTTGGGTCCTGATTCCTGCATCCTACTGAAAGATCTGCTTCTGGACCCCAAGACCTACATTAGTTCCCTACAGTAAGACACTTACGTCAGGGTTCAGCCGTGGGTTCATGTTCGGCTAGGAGTTATTCAAAGGCCTGTATGTCACACATTTAGAAATCTTAAAGCACATTAAGCTGATCAAAAACCTTTTAGAAATTCTCACTTTGCATTTTTTCTTCATGAAAATGAGACGAAGCATAATTCTAAGTAAACTGCAGACAGGCTTATTTTTTCTGGAAGACTCTTCTCTTTTTGTCTGAAAGGCTTTTTTAGTTCTGAACCTGGCAGGAAGTTATAGGCTCATAGTTTATGCATTTGCCAGTTCTAAAGTAATTTTTTCAATTTAATTTAATTGAAAAATTAAATTAAATTTTATTTTTAAACAAAACAAACAAAATAACGAAATTATCATTTTGAACATTTTAACGTCAATTTTCCTTTTGAAAATGTGCAAAATATTTTGAGATATTGTCCGCAAAGAAAGTGTAAACCAAAGTAAATATACATTTAAGTATATTTATTTGCATTTTTATCCGATTTCATTAATTAAGTATATTAATGGTAGTATTTTTAATTTTACGATATTGTCTCAGCATCTGGTGTTGCCTTCCAGGCTCTGTGATAACCCACTGCTGGACTCTGGAGTCCGCATCCTGCTGGAGGCGCTGCCCCAGAACCAGTCTCTGATCTACCTGTCCCTAATGCACACTGGGCTGGGCAACAGCGGGGCTCTGGAGCTGGCTGAGAGGCTGCCGCAGCACACAGGGCTGCAGGAGCTCAACGTGGCTTACAATGCTATCAGCGAGGAGGCAGCTGTGGCTCTGGTTGACGCCTGCAGGGAGCATCCCACCATCCACACCTTACAGTATGTGTCTCCTCACTGCACTAACTGTATTTATAAGTAGTTCTGGTTGGATTTAATTTCCTCCTTTTTCTCATTGAACGTTTATGCAAAAAAATAAAAATAAAAATCAATGCTTTGTTGTAACGACAGCGAGTGTGAGACATGTATGAGCTTGAAAAAGAAAAACAAACACACAGGAAGTAAATAAATACATTCAGAAGGTTTCAAAAACAAGTTAAAGGGGTTTGGAATGTTAGTGAAGCTGTGGTATGAATAATTACTCAATGACTTAAGTTTTCTCAAATGGTGCTGATTAGCAAAATACAAATGGTTTAATGGACAGAAATGCATAACTTATTTTAATCTGTTTTCTAAGTCACACCAGTTTGGATTCAGGATGGATGCATTGGGCTCATAATCAGGCGAGCAAATGCTTTATGCTACTCTGTCCAGAAAAACAGAGAGAAAGCATCAAGGTATTCACAGCAATTTCTCCAACTATATCAGGAGAGTAAATAGAAAGAGTGAAGAAAGGTGGCCAGTAGAGATACACTGACTTATCTGCACTGATTTCCTTAATTTTGGGAGATTGTGATGGACAGATACTTACATGTGAAGCCGATCTTATCCCACAAGCTTATCTTCCTCAACAAAAGTTTAAAAGTCAAACATTGTCCTCTTCTGCTCTGCAATGAGAGAAGTTTGACTGTGAGCAGAAGTCATGTTGTTGTGGGGACCTCCATCTGAAGCCATTTTCAGGATGCCAGGAACATGGATAACATGATAATCAGTAGGCTGACGATCTCTGCTGTGGATGGGAGCGTTCAGAGACATCAGGTGACAGGTTTTACAAATGAATCTATATTTGTAAGTATGACTGTTTTTGTTTTCCTCAACAAATTGATTCAAATTTAGTAAAATCCTATGATATGGGAGACTTCAGTTGTTCAGAAGTAAGTAAAGATCTAGATGGAGATGATTTCTGACGTCATTCCTGGTGCAGACCGTGCAAACAGCAACATATTTAATGTGTTTAATGACTGCTACCAGAACTATCTGCTGAGACAACGGTGTGACCATACCTATCTGAGCCCAAAGAACGGCTTAACGTTGAGCTGATGAAGGTACATGAGAACAATATAGTGCTGCATTTTCAGAACCAGGTTCAAACGAGGTGATTCTTCCAGTTGTATTGAGTTTCAAGCTCTAGATCAGTGGTTCTTAACCTGGGTTCGGTCGAACCCCAGGGGTTCGATGAGTCGGTCTCAGGGGTTCGGCGGAGCCTCTGCCGCGGAGGAAAAGACACACTTATGAAAAGTGATGACGCCCCGCTTTGCCATCACTTGCTGCAGAGGATCACGTTACATTGATTAGCCAATCAGAGCTGCGGAGGAGCACTGATTGAAGGAGCTCCACTCAGCATGGATTTGAACTTGTGTCTTTAATTACTTCAGCAAAGCTCACAGTTTTTACCAAATTCTGTAGCTTTCGGTGTACAGTGATCCCTCGCTATAACGCGGTTCACCTTTCGCGGTCTCGCTGCTTCGCGGATTTTTTTCATAGTGCATTGTGTTCTGCGTCCTGATTGGTTAAACAGTCTCCGAGCTCCACATTCAGGAGATGAAAGCTAAAAACTTTGAATGCCTGCTGGAAAAACTGTGGCCAGAATAAGCGCAAAACCCGACCAGAGGCTCGCTTGATGAAATCCATCGCTCTGCCGTAGATCCAGCTGTGAATCTCTCGGGGCAGGTTGGAGGAGACGCTTTAATGACATGACTCCGAATCAGTGGCGCAAAAAAGGGGGTATGCAGCGCATGCAACGAATAGGGGCGCAGCACCAGAGGGGGCGTCAAAACCCCGTCTGGAGGGGGCGGCGCGCCGATTATGTTTTCCCGTAAACTTCAGCGCGCCTTATGCTCCTTCACCTCGCGCACGTGACGAGGTAAATGTGGCGAGTTTTACCTTTCACGTAACTTCGTCTCGGGAGGGTAGGGGGGGAAGCGAGCGTATGTTTTCCACGCTCCTTCAACCTTCCTTCGGGGGAGAGGGGGATCGGGGGGCGCCGATTTATGTTTTCGCATCCACCTGAATAATGTGTAGTTACGCCACTGCTCCGGATCACATTAAGGCCCGATTGATGAACAGGTTTTGTTCTTTGGTTTCAATGTAGAGTATTTAATTATGCTGTATAATAACTGTAAAAATTAAAGGTAACTACTTCGTGGATTTCACTTATCGCGGGTTATTTTCGGGACGCAACCCCCGCGAAAAACGAGGGATCACAGTACTTCTAAATCTGGTCCTTAGTCGCATCTTTCGGGCCAGCTACTGCCTCTAGTGGCGTGGGGGTGGTAACACAACTAATATAATTACATTACTAAATCAGAATACCGCAAAGTCTTAATTATTTATTGTTAATTTTTCATTCTCTTAAGAATGTAGAGCTAATTAAATGATCTAAACAAGACCTTAAAGTGGTTCTAGTTTCTATCGATGGCCAACCTGTTGAAACTGTGGCAAATTTTAAATACCTTGGCTCGTTCCTGGACAGTCAGCTCAACCGTTCTGAAAACACTGACTATATTTTGAAGAACTGTTCTCAGAGACTTTAAGAAGACTTAGTGATCTTGGGGTGACCCAACTAGACTCTAGTTGAGTCGAATAAGGTGTTTCTGTGAAACAAAGACACAAACATGACTGGCTTGGATTAAATCTTTTTGCTCTTGAAAATGTATCCAAAGAATTTTAAGAAGTGGTGTGAAGCTGTCTGATAGGTATTTTCCTTGAACCTTCATTAAAAGAACCGCAGACAACGTATATGAATTTTATGACCAAGCTTTTGCAAAAGGAGAAGTCTCAGCAAACTGCTCCTCTGAGCAAGGGTTCTAAAGACCCTTGGTTACGGCTTGTCTTTTATTATCAAGTAAAAAGAAGGAGGATAGACAGCAGAGACAAAATACTACTGCACACAGACAGTTTCTAAGGTAGGGAGTATTCCGATTGATAAGGCACCTGTGGAAACATAATTTAAGGTCTGGGAAACGCATAGATATCTTCACATGAAGACGAACAGGCAGATGTGACCTCCAGGTCAGTTTATACACGCATAAGGAAGAGAACACTTTAAACTGAAAATCACAATAATACTGAATGTTAATTAACTATTGATTAACATTAGACTGAATATGAACTAAAGTAATAAAATTATAATACCAAAAAATCTCTAACACTATCATTTCTTTGCTGTGAGAAACATTTGGTTTTCCAAGAGCCAATAAAGGATCAAACTGATAATGTCACAATGATAAATTTTCATAGAAAAGTTTTGAACTTCTTGTCACCTGAGGTGTGAGATTTCTGCCAAATTAGCCATAAGTTCATCAATTTTATTTTTCTATTTTCCATTTATGCAATATCATAAAATTAAGATGTAAATGCAGTATTTTAAATTGAATACTGCATTGTAAGCAAATGTGTGAAAATGTCTAGCATTGCAATTACCGTATTTTCCGCACTATAAGGCACACCTAAAAACCTTCAATTTCCTCAAAAGCCGACAGTGCGCCTTATAATCCGCTGCGCCTTATATATGGACCAATATTGAGCCACAACAGGTCTAGCAACTACGGTAAGCAGCCGCCGACTTCATTTTCGCCCGTAGAAGAAGAAGCGCGCGGTGCATGCTGGGATAGTTGTCAGAATGCTGGTTTGTAATCTATTAATAAAGTTTGACTGACCTATCTACCTACCGACCGTCTAGAATCAGGTTGTCTGCAGGTCATTTAGCACCACGTTCTCCACGAACATGCTGTGTGCGAATGGAGAAGAGTGACCATCATTCGGCCACGCCCCGGCCCAGTCGCCCACCGGAGTGGGACTGTTTTATTGACATTCTCTTTAGTGCAGCTCCATCTAGTGGATGCATAATGTAACTCCAGCCTCTACTGCAGCATCTATTCTATGCGCCTTATAATGCGGTGCGCCTTGTATATGAAAAAAGTTTTAAAATAGGCCGTTCATTGAAGGTGCGCCTTATAGTGCGGAAAAACACACACACACACACACAACGTTCATAAATGTATTTATGTGTCTTATAAGAATGTCAGTCTGTGAATATGTCTGTGTCCCTGTGCAGCTTGTATTTTAATCCTATCACTGATGAGGGGAAGCAGTCGCTGTATGGCCGGGGTGTAACCGGTAACCAAGGCAACAACCAACAAGTCAAAGTCCTGGCGTCTGTCACTGAAGGCTCGGACATCTCAGGTGGTTGGCACCCCATCCTGAAAGTGATACAAGAGAATGCTTCATCCTGGGACCACAAACGGGTCAAGCAGCAGCTGAAGGTACACACTTTTTCTGCTCTGTCTTTTGAAGGAGGAAGACGCACTTTCTCTGTCTCCCTGCCCTCCCCGTCTTCCCTGCTCAGCATCTGTGTCCTGTGTTTTTAGAGTCTTCTTTGCATAGCTTCCGAAGTTGCAAATTATGGATCTGGTCAGCTGGTCTCCCAATGCAATTGATAAAAGTTTTTCCCCTGGGAAACCAGGAAAAGGGGAACACTCGTGTCCCGACGGATACGTCTTCGCTGGATACACAATGGATTCTGGATGGAAGTGGAAGACCGTGTGTCTGACGACCCTGTCAGTCGAGGATGTTGAAGATGTGTACATGATTGGATTTATGATAACAGGTTTTCTGCATATTGGAGTTGGCGGCTACCTGGCTTATCGGAAATTTCGGAAGATGTCGGCGGCTGTTTTGGCCTCCCCTGGTTGTTATGTCTAAAGAAGGCTCTGTTCTGCTGCCCCCTCTCCCTGAGAACATCTCTGGCCCTGAACTGATAAAGCTGGTGGTGAACTCCAAGATCGCACAGACAATTGCATGCTTCAGTTGGGGTTCATGGTCTGACACACACATAACTCACATGAGACCCATATGCATGTCACACCTCCTCCTCGTACCTGGCTTGTTTTGTCTATATGTGTTTATATGTGCTTAAGTGCCGAGGTTATTTTTTTATTCTTGCAAAGAGCAGAGTGTGAGACAGGCTGGTTCTATTTCATCCCTACTGACCGCCAGAGGGCGGTGCTGAAAGCACTGAATGTTCCTTTCGCGCATGCGCTGTTCGAGCAATAATGTCAACAGAGTCACACCTGTGACACATCGGATGATCAATCAGAGGCTATATAGCATGACGTCATCCGAGGCTCTGTTCCTCTTTTCTTCTCGCGTGCGGTTCGTTTCGTATGGCATCAGCCTTTTGGATTTCTGAATCTTTTGCCGTCGTTGGACGCCCGACTGCCTGTTGGCCGGAGTTGCGGGGTATCGCCCTCCGAGGGCTGCGACGGATCTTCATTTAAGGAACTGTTTGTTGGTGATGACAGCGTTTCCGCCTCCTCTCCCAACTCACAGCTTAGCCCCACTGTGTTTGTAAACCTGTTGGAGTTTAGCTAACGGTGTTAGCCTTTCTTAGTTTGATGGTTTGCTTTAATTGGTGACGGTAGCGTCTCGCCCCCTCTCCCAATTTTAGCTACCTTATAAGCGGTTTGTTAATACTTTGATTGGTGACGGGAACCTTTTTTGTCCCCTCTCCCAGTTTTATGTGGAATTTTGTCCTGTCCGGCCGTGGCGGACACCCTCAGCCTTTTTTTTTTTTTTTTTTTCTCGTCCTATACTGGACGTTGCTGACCGCGTCTGCCTGCAGTTGGTCTGCTGGTCTTTTCTGTAATTGGTGACGGTAGCGTCTCGCCCCCTCTCCCAATTTCAGCCAATTTTGTGATCGTAGCTTTGTGCTGGGCTTACCTGACTCTTCGTTTGCTGCTTAATTGGTGACGGCAACGTTTTTGCTCCCCTCTCCCAGTTTAGTTTTTTTTCCTTATTCTGGACATAGTTGACGGGGTCAGCCCCTTTGTTGCTCTTTTATTCTCTGCCCTTCTCCCAATCTTAGTCTGCTCTGTCTGCCTGTGCTGAGACTCGCTTCACTGTTGGACATGGACAGCTCCCACTGTTGTTCGGATTGTGGAGCTGTGCTTCAGGCAGATGATGGTCATAACCTGTGCCCTGCCTGCCTCGGGCATGATCACCTGGTTGAGGCCCTGTCGGATAAGCCCTGCATGAACTGCAGCTACATGCCCCATGCAATGAAGGTGGCTCGACTGGCCCAGTTACGCCCCGAGTGTGGACATGACCTTCCACCTTCTGGGCAGGTGGCCGTGCCTAGGCGCTCTAAGCGAAGGACTGAGGCCACAGCCTCTGTGGCTCCTCCTAAGAAGAAGCGAGCTAAGTCTGACCAGGGTCTTTCCACAAGGGTTGAGCGGTTGTCTGCAGAGTTGGCGGAGATGAAATCCCTTTTTCAGGCACGTCAGGTGGAGGCTCCCCTGACTGGGTTCCCTTCCCCACCTATGCCAGAGTTGGCTGTGGAGGACGATGTGCTGTCTTTGGCTGCCTCTGCCTCTCACTTTGGGAATGAGGAAGAGGAGGCACAGTCGTCTCGCGCTTCAGAGACTGGCTCACACTCTTCATCTCAGAGTGCAGCTAGTGGGGCTGGTGACAGCTCAATGCGAGACATCATGCGTATGGCTTTGAGACAGCTGCAGCTGGATGTCCCGCGAGAGGTGGACTCCGCTCCTGGCAGTGCCTTTTTCAGGCGTGGCCGAGGCCCTACTCCCTTTTCTGTCCCTCCATTGGAGGAGTACCTCAGGGAGTTGCATGCTTGTTGGCGGGACCCTAAAGCCTTTTCAAACCTCTCCCCAGATGGTCGAGTGTTGGCAGCTATGCATGAGTCGGTCAAGGCGGGCTTGGACTGCATGCCTGCGGTTGAACCTGCTGTTGCCTCGCTCATCGTGTCTCCAGATGAAGCACTGCGTGATGATGTTCGGTGCCCACGGGCTCAATGTCGTATTACAGATGACTTCCTCTGTAAGGCATATAATGCTGGAGCACGTGCCGGCCGCCTTGGCAATTCCTTGGTGCACCTCATGTTTGCACTTTCTGCATCCCTTCAGGATACCAATGGGGCAGATGCAGCTATTGGCTTTAGCGATGCAGCGCTTCAGGCCTTTGCATTGATGTCCAAAGAGCTTGGGCGTGTGATGTCTTTTCTGGTCCAGGCTCGCCAACAGGTCTGGCTGGCTCAGTCCACGTTGACTGAAACATGCCGTAGGACCCTCCGCAGTGTTCCTGTTGTGCCAGGGGAGTTGTTCGGTTCTGCTGCCTTGGAAGCGCTAGACCGAACCGTTCAGGCGCGGCAGACTAGAGAACAGCTTTCAGGCCTCAGCAGAGGTATGCCCCCTCCTCATCGTAATCCAAGGCGCCCAGCGGCTGGCCCCAGTATTCGGCCGCTGCCTCAGGGTTCTGCTCGGCCTAGTGGGTCTTACCCTCGTCATGTAGAGCGGAGATCCAGCAGGGACTTTCGTGAGCTGGTCCGCCAACCGACCAGACACACCCGGGCCGCAGACGTTGGCCACCGCCCCCCCAGACCACCTAGGGGTCGGGGGGAGAGAAAGTGAGGCCACCAGGCCGGCCGTCGGATATTTTTCTCATCAGCAGCTCAGTTACTGGGCTGCTCTCGCTGTGGATCCATGGGTGGTTGCCACTCTGACCCATGGTTACCGGCTACAATTCTGACGGTGGCCTCACATTTCACACCGGGTCAGGGTGACCGTCATTGCCGACCCGGTGAAAGCGCAAGCCCTGGACCAGGAGCTTTCCGCCCTCCTGTCCAAGGGTCCAATCGAGGGAGTGGATCCTCTGCGGCAACCCAGAGGCTACTATTCAACGTATTTTCTCGTGCCAAAAAAGACGGGCGGATTTTGTCCCATTTTAGATCTCAGGGGACTCGATCAGTATTTAAAGGTCCTGCCTTTTCACATGCTCACGACTGCAGAGGTTCTGCGGGCTGTGATAAAGGGAGAATGGTTTACATCAATCGACCTTACAGATGCGTTCTTTCATGTACCTATTGCGGCGGAACATCGTCGCTTTCTCAGGTTTGCCTATCGGGGTCGCCACTGGCAGTTCCGTGTGCTCCCGTTCGGCCTCTCACTGTCCCCGAGGGTGTTCACTCGGTGCGTGAAGGCGGCCCTCTCTCCTCTGCAGGCCCAAGGTATGAAGGTTCTGCCATACCTCGACGACTGGCTTCTCTGCGCCCCGTCTCGAAAGCAGGCATCTCGCGATGCGAGTCGCCTGCTCGCTCATGTGTCCCGGTTGGGCCTCAGGGTGAACTTGAAGAGCTGTCTGATTCCTTCACAGACAACCACTTTTCTTGGGGTGATTTTGGATTCTCCCTCCATGACAGCCTACCCATCTGTCCAGAGGGTGGACGATATTCTCCGACTGGTGAGTCGATTCAGGCTGGGCAGGCAGCTTTCTTACATCGTCTTCCTGCGGCTGCTGGGCAAACTAACATCAGTTACTCGGGTTGTGCCCCTAGGTCTGCTGTCTTTGCACCCTTTGCAGAGGTGGATCAACAGCTGGCACCTGGATTCGAGACTACACAGGCATTGCAAACTTGTGGTAACGTGGCCATGTCTTCGTGCCCTGAGTCCATGGAGAGACAGGGCCTACTTGTCCAGGGGCGTGTCCATGGGGGTGGTTGTGTATCGCAGGGAGGTGGTCACGACAGATGCCAGCTCCATGGGATGGGGTGCTGTGTGGCAACACAGGGCGGTCCAGGGCCGCTGGTGTCCACAGGATCGCTCCAAACATATAAATGTATTGGAGCTGCATGCTGTGCATTTGGCTCTCAGGCACTTTTTGCCCCACCTGCAGGGGAGGCATGTCCTGATTCGGTCAGACAACACCTCTGTTGTCTACCACATCAACCACCAAGGTGGCACCAGGTCAGCACAGCTTCTGAAGGAGTCCCAGGATCTCCTGGAATGGGCGTCTGTTCACCTATCCACCCTGCGGGCGGTGTACTTGCCAGGGCTGCGCAACCAGGTAGCAGACTCCCTTTCCCGACAGGCGCCGGCTCCGGGAGAGTGGTCCCTCCACAGCGATATAGTTCGCCTGATCTGGGACCTTTTTGGTCAGGCAGAAGTCGACCTGTTCGCCACGGAGGAGTCGACTCATTGCCCTCTATGGTTTTCCCTTACAGGGGCGGCAGGTGCGCTGGGCCAGGACGCCTTGGCCCACCCTTGGCCAAGAGACCTCCTATATGCCTTCCCCCCCTTTTCCCTGATATGGCCGACTCTTCAGAGGGTTCTCGAGGAGGGCCACAGGATGTTGCTGGTGGCTCCATTTTGGCCGGCACGGCCATGGTTCCCTCTTCTACGGAGTCTGTGTCACGGTGTCCCATGGTGTCTTCCGACCAGGAGGGATTTACTGTCTCAGTTGGGGGGTCAGATATGGCATCCCGACCCTCAACGCCTCCGGCTGTGGGTGTGGCCACTGGGAGACTTGAACAGCAGCTGACTGGGTATTCAGGTCCTGTCAGGCACACTATTTTGAGTGCCAGGGCATTCTCCACTCGTCAGCAATATGACAACAGATGGCGTTTGTTTTCCCGGTGGTGTTCTGCCCACAATACTGATCCAGTAACCTGTCCGGTTCCCACTATTTTGGAATTTCTTCAGTCGCTTCTTGATGAGGGATGCTCTCCTTCGACGCTTAAGGTATATGTAGCGGCTATATCATCTTGTCATGCTGACGTTGATGGCTGTACAGTGGGGAGCCATAAGCTGGTTTCTCTTTTTTTGCGTGGTGCTCGTAGGCTGCACCTGCCAACAATTCCGGGAGCACCAGTTTGGGACCTGTCCTTGGTCCTCAGTGCTCTGTGCCGCCCTCCATTTGAGCCTTTGGTTCATACAGACCTCAAATGGGTGTCATGTAAAACGGCTTTTTTGTTGGCTATTGTCTCCGCTAAGAGGGTCAGTGAGCTACATGCTCTTTCTGTCAGCCCGTCATGTCTCAGATGGGGCTCAGATGGTTCTGGGGTTACCTTGTGGCCAAACCCGGCGTTTGTCCCTAAAGTGCTTTCTCGTTCTCATTGTAACCAACCATTGAGGTTGGCGCGTTTTCAGCCTACGTCAGGGGAAGCTGACGATAGTTCTGAGTTACTGTGCCCAGTGAGGGCACTGGAAGCCTATATTGCAGCCACTGCTGCTATAAGGCGCTCGGACCAGCTTTTCTTGTGTTATGGGGGCCCGAGATTAGGTTGTCCTCTGTCCAAACAGCGCCTCTCCCATTGGATCGTGGACGTCATCTGCCACGCCTACACTGCAGGGCATCGCCCCCGGCCAGTTGGCGTGAAGGCACACTCTACCAGGAGTGTTTCCACTTCCTGGGCAGCCTTGAGAGGGGTTCCACTGGAAGCTATATGTGTGGCGGCATCATGGGCTTCTCCGACCACGTTCACTAGATTTTACAATGTGAATGTGGCCTCCTCTCATTCTCTGGACCAGGTTCTTTTATAGGGGTCCTCTGGGTCTCCTCATTGAGGTATGTGCTCAGGATTCCTTGTGACATTGCTGGTATTAGTCATTCAGTGCTTTCAGCACCGCCCTCTGGCGGTCAGTAGGGATGAAATAGAACGAAAGTTACGTATGTAACTACGGTTCTATGAATCCCGGATGACCGCCAGAGATTCTCTGTCACTCAGAATCCTTGCATTTCGCGAGAAGATTCTGTAGGAACAGAGCCTCGGATGACGTCATGCTATATAGCCTCTGACTGATCATCCGATGTGTCACAGGTGTGACTCTGTTGACATTATTGCTCGAACAGCGCATGCACGAAAGGAACATTCAGTGCTTTCAGCACCGCCCTCTGGCGGTCATCCGGGATTCATAGAACCGTAGTTACATACGTAACTTTAGTTTTTTTTCCTCTCCTTACCTGATGTTTTACTCTGTTCTCACTCTGAAATGCTTTTCCTCTCCTTCTTCTCTAAAGGTTTTCCTCCGGGACCTGGAGTGGGGACGTGAGAAGCAAACGAGCTTCTGGAG